GCAACCCCTTCTGGAAACATCTCAACTGTATCCCAGTCTGATTCACACCTTCATTACAACACAGCAAACTGCACTGGGACACCGCCTATCTTCTCTGCTGTCAGAGCAAATACTGCACTTGACAGAGCTTCACATGTTGTGCCCCATTCTCGCCAATTATAGGCGACATGGTGACAAAGGACCACACGTGGTACGGATGCTGAGGAAGGCCCAGTGTAGCGTCTGCGCAGCTGTGGGGACTGCTGCTGTGCGCAGGGGGCTGCCCTGGCTGCATTCGCCTCTGGGTTCCTAGCCACGTTCAGAACTATAAGGGAAGAGAATTTCCAAACACTGTTCTTCTGCTTCAGAGAAGTCCCTCTTTCTCCTCCTTCCACAGTGCTCACTCCTCAGAGACAAAGTTTAGAGGGACTTCTAGATGCCGTGGACTTCTGTGGTCTCCAGAGAACTCAGAATTCAAGACAAGCCTGTACAAGATGAAATAGATTCTTTCCCCATATGTTTGGAATCACTAAAACAAAAGTCCTGACCGACTGGAATCTGCAGTTGGGCCTCGAGCTGCCTCGCAGGGGCTCATCTCAATGGGATGGGGCTGGGCTCTGGCCCCACGGGCACCCCAGTTCCTCGAGCCCCCTTGCCCCTGCCCGCCACCAAGTCTCTGCCTGTGTGCTTGCTCCAGCCAACCCAGTTGGCTCTTTCCTCATCCACTGCCCTCTCCCTTTGCCTGGTTAACTTCTCTAGTCCTTCACATCTCAGTTTAAACTTTGCTTTCTCTACTCACCTTCCCTGATCTTTCTGAGCAGGTCAGCCCTCTATTAGAGACACCCTCCCTCCAAGTGCTTCCACTTACCACTTTGCATTTCTTCATGTGGTTTTCTGGATCAATGTCTTCCTCCCCCATGAAACTGTGCGCTCCGTGATGGCAGAGACTTGTTCTCTTTAACTCCCCATTACTCCCCCAGCACCACCTAACGCAGTGTCCGTCATACAGCAAGTACTTAATAAATAGTTCATGATTTGTTTAATGAGTGAATGAATGAACCTGTGGACTTCATTCACCTTAGTCTCCTTTGGATTTGTCTTTCTCAAAACAGTTAACAGTAGTTTGTCAGAAGTCTTCTGGTAAAGAATGCCACTCTGTAGTTTTAACTCAATAGGTTGGGAGGGATTGACAAAATGAAAGTACAGTCAGTGACCAAAATCATCCCTCTGCTTTTCTCCTATGGCTTTAGGAAAAGAGGGGAAACCTAGCACCAGTGGTCTCTATCAGTGTGCCATAGGGCATATCCCATGCTTTTTATGTAGGACCATTCCTAGAACTGGTTACAGTGAATTTATTTAAGAAAATGAAATTCATCCCAGTCTGTGGATGGACCCTCAGTCTCTAGATGTTTTAATGGTACCATGATCTTATAAAAAACTCAGCACTCTGAGATCTAAGTGGGATATTGGTAAATAAACATCACTACAGTTGGAATTTTTAATATATATTTTATATTCAGTAAAAATTGCTTTTTAAAAAGCGAAGCCTGGTATCTTGGCAAATCTGAGACCATTTACCAAAATTATTCTTTGTTGGAGCTTGGAGGATGAAGTGTCCTGGGAGGTCTGTAGCATTTGGTGTTAATGAGCAATAACATAAAGGATAAGGTAAGTTTAGGAAGTGGTAGTAAACTTGGACCCACTTAGAAGACAGCCAGAAAAATCAATAAAGGATTATTGACTATTTTAGAAAAGATTATTCTAAATTATTTTAAATACCTGTTTAAAAACTGGATCACACCTTGAAATGATTTTCTCCCCTACTTCATTTTGTTTGTTTGTTTGTTTGTTTTGGCGATGAGGTGAGAAAAGACAGGAAGGATAGCTGACAGCGCTTATAGCATTAAAGGGCGAACCAGCTGATGTCTTTTCTTGAACTAAGTTAGAAGTAATCAACTATTTCTCACCTCAAGAAAAATTACGAATTTGCAGAATCCACCACAAGGACGTTTGATACCTAGGAGACTTGTAGTGCTGGTATGTTGGAGCCTGCAATTTATTCTAGAAATCTTTGGCTCTTGGAAAGGGTTCAGAAACATTACAAAAGTATGTTCTGCTGATCCTGAAGTCAAGGTCATGTTAACTAGCAAATATTTAAAAGTTACTGGTATCTGATTGAGTCTAGGTGCTTAGAGTTTGTTTCCCCTAAATTTTGTATTATGATTAATAAATATAAATTCTTGGGGCGCCTGGGTGGCTCAGTCGGTTAAGTGACTGCCTTCGGCTCAGGTCATGATCCCAGAGTCCTGGGATCGAGTCCCACATCAGGCTCCCAGCTCAGCAGGCAGCCTGCTTCTCCCTCTGACCCTCTCCCCTCTCATGCTGTTTCTCTCTCTCTCAAGTAAATAAATAAATAAAATCTTTAAAAAAAATAAAAATAAAAATAAAAATAAATATTATAAATTCTTTTTAAGAGAAACTTATTATGGAGGGCAAAAACATTCTATATTCCTTTTGTCTCAGTTAACTTCCCCAGGGAAAGTTTAGCTTTTCACACCACAAGCTTTGCCCACATTGCAGCCTAATAATGCCTTACAAGGAACCAAACTGCCTCTGGAGGGTAAGGTTGCACCCTGTGCTGGGAAGGGAGGTCAGATATTGCCATGTCAGGTAAGAAACCCAGATGCCCCGTAAAGTGGATTCAGAAAGAATTTTGTTCCGTGGTATTCAGTTCGTTTGGGGCCTTAGCCTGGGAGCTGTAAAGAATGCCAGAAAAACATCTGGCCTTTGCAACAGCGTGCTACTCTCTGGACAGCACAGGAGGGCTGATTGCCATCCCTCGGGACAGGTTCCCACAGGGCAGCACACATTGTAGGCACTCCCGCAGGGGGAACGGGAGTGCAGCAGGTTCTGGAAGTAGAGTGCAGGTCCTCTCTTCTTCTTTTTTTTTTTTTTTAAAGATTTATTTATTTATTTGAGAGAATGAGAGAGAGAGTACATGAGAGGGAGGAGGATTAGAGGAAGAAGCAGACTCCCTGCCGAGCAGGGAGCCCGATGCGGGACTCGATCCAGGGACTCCAGGATCATGACCTGAGCCGAAGGCAGTCGCTTAACCAACTGAGCCACCCAGGTGCCCCAAGGTCCTCTCTTCTTGTGTAAATGATCCTTCTACTAATATCACAGTGACTAGCAGCTTAAAACTCAGAGTAAACTTGGAAATCCGCTAACCCAATTCACTTAGATTTTAGAGGTAAAAACAAGTCCCAGAAAATGTAAAAGACTCTCCCCAACATATGTCTGTATGTTTAAATGTCCCTGTGGGACTTGATAGCACTTCACGGACGGGAAGACCGTGGGGAAGGACTAACAGTACAAAGTGTGCATGAGTTCAGCTGCCTGACTGGAATACCTCTCTGCAGTGTAGACAGTGGCAGCCGCCCTCCTGACAGTGGCGGCCTAACCCGAGTTTCCTTTGAACTCTGATGAGCAAAGCATTTGCAAGTGAGAGTTCAGTGTGGGGGCCCAAAGAAACCCCATATGGGGCCAGATTGCCCTGGAAAAGAAAAACTAACCTGACAGAGTGAACGGTGTTGGCAATGAGTGTGCATTTTTCTTAATCATGCTAATTAAATCTTAAGAGGAAAAATTTCTAGGAATAATGTGCCTATAGATGAGAAAAACTTCTTGGCCCCAGATACCGTGCTTTAGAGGGTGAATCTTGCTGAATGGCTGCTTGGAGTGTTACATTGCCCACTTTCATTTCACCGTATGGGCTCTTCATCTCCTGTATTTTATGTAACTCAATTTCTGCAGGGAAGAGAATATCCTGATTGCAAAAGGATGGGGGGTGGGGAATAGTATGGGAAGACACCAGTGGAAAATCCACTGTGTTCCTTCTTCTAAGTCACATCCAAAGTCCCAGGAGGATAGCTTCCTTCCAGAGCTCACTTTGACAATCTACACTGAATATGACATGCCCAGCCTGCATAGACAGGGGATCCAGCTTCCTTGCTCTCCTGCTTCCAGCTGGAAGGAGGAGTGTGGTGCCCCATCCCCAAAGCCTCCCTCAAGGAGCCCTCAGCATCTATCAATCAGCTCCTTCCTCGGGGACCCCACTGACACCTACAGCACTTTTGTTCAAAATAGAAAAAGGCCACTCTGGTCTATAGGTCTGAGCCTTATTTCTGCATGGATTGTAAAGCTCTCACTTCTTTTTTTTTTTTTCTTCCTTGTTAGTTAGACAAACAAATAACACCTCCAATTCTCGGTACAAACGATTGGACCCAGTATATGCTCCATTTTCACAGCTCCAACATAATACCAACAGAAAAGGTCTCATCATTCTATACTACAGGGCTGTTTCATGGCTGAGAAGACCTTCCATTTTCACAGTGGTGAGCAGGGCGAATAGGAGCAGGCTTGTTGTGCACAGAGAAGGCCCCTTTCTCCATTCATAATCCCAGACTGACTGGGGACAGCTGCCCTCAGGTGACCTCCATGTAGTTCTCAGTGCTAGGGCATGTGCCAGGGCCCCTTCGAACTCTTGTTCCAGCCTCCCAGCACTCGAGGCTTCTCAGTCCTTCCGACTGTCTGCCCTGCTCCCTGTCCTGTACACGGTCAAATACACCTGTGCATCGATGCTCCGTGCTCCAAGCAGATCTAGATCTCAAGGTAGCATCACTGTGCATTTTCCCCCTTACTCTGCTGAACTTGTCTTTCTTTTCTGCATACAAAACTCCCTTTGAAGTAAGGGATCTTTTACAACAGATCTGATTGGAATGATGTTCCAATATAGACTATCAAAGATAATAGCTTTGCACCCCAAACACAGAAAGACTTTTAATTTCTCCCACTAAAATAGATGTTAAGAACTGTAGTCCCCTACTTTGGTTTGGGGGGACAAAATTGATTACAAAACTGTTCTGAACTTTCTGTTAATTAATTCTTACCTGTTGCTTGTTATTGAGATGTAAATGTTAAGTTTAAAGTCCAATTTAACACAATATTCATTCTTTCTGCAGCACCTGAAATTCTTAGAGGCTGTGCCTATGGACCTGAGGTGGACATGTGGTCTGTAGGAATAATCACCTACATCTTGTAAGTGAAGAAAAGCAATCTCTATGGGTACTATTTGCCTTTGCTGTATATTTCTTAGGTACTTAGAGTCCTCATAAAAAGCAAGATTACTTTTTGACTTTTGTAATTTTCTACAACATACTAAATGTAGTTAGTGATAGACTTTTTTGAAAACAAACATTGTGTTTTCTTCTCTGATTTTCCTGGGGCCAGACCTTCTGTCCAGGGCTTTTCTACACCTCATTCTGCAGTGCAATGTATAGCAGATTTGGGGAACAATTCACTATTTGATGATAGTAACGAATGTGAAACCCAAGCCCATCTATTTAACTTGCCCTTGTTTACTTATTTACATCTTGTCAAAATACAGTATCGGTCCTTTTTAAAGGGCAAATGGCTATTTAATCTCCTAAGCAATTCCAGACAGGGACATTTCTTGTCAGCAGTGTTTTTAATGCAATTTGGCTATCAGTTTTGTTTTCTATCTCTGTTAGGTCCTCAAGGACCTTGAGTTTAATACCCTAAACTCAGAGAAACCTTTTTCCTGGTAGAAAAAAGATGAGCTAAATCTCTCATTCTCTGGTATCCCCAACGCCATTCCTGAGCTTCTGTCTACTAATAAAAAAAGGGTTTCAGGATATTTGCCAAAGAGTTGATGGAATTGCCGAGGAACATGAGGAAGACAAGCAAGAAGGGCTGAGGAGTGTCTGGAGGACTGCCGAAGAGCAGCCCTAGAAGCAAGCTATCAATGAGCCCCAGAGTTTAATTCAAAACAAGTAGATTTGGTTGCCATGTGGAAGACACTGCCCAGTTACTTGAAACCTGGAATATTCACAACTATAAAGAGACTTTAGAGGGTATAAAAGAAAATATATTAGTCGGTCAGGCTGGGTGCCTTCAACAACAGACATTTATCCCTCGAGGTTCCAGAGGCTGGAAGTCTGAGCTCAGGGAGCCAGGAGGCCCGGTCCTGGTGAGAGCTCTCTCCCTGGCTTGCAAACATCTGCCTCCTGGCTCATTCCCCATCTGGCAGAGAAGGAATGGAAGCTCTTTGGTATCTCTTCTTCGAAGGACACCAATCCCATCATGAAGTTGGCCTACCCTCATGAACACATCGAACCCTAGTTACCTCCCAAAGGCCTTATCTCCAAATGCCATCACATGAGGACTTCTCACCATAGGAATTTTAGGGAGACACAATTCAGTCCATAGCAGAAAGAGGTTTGGGATTTTTTTTTAATTTAATAGTGATCTTAGAAAGCGCAGTGTCTAGGTAATAAGGGCTAGAAGGAAGGTAACTAGGGTACCCCCAAACAAATTAGTAAACTCTAAGTTCACCTGGGTATACTCAGTCATCTATAGCCAAGACAAAAATGTTTAACAAGCAACCCAGTAAATCGCCATCTGCTACGATGTAATGTCAAAAGATAGTTTCAATGTTGAATTCCTTGTGTATCCAGAATATACTAAAGCTTGAAAAGCATTTGGAGAGGTAGATAACCATGTTTTTTCTTAGGAAAGTGCAAAACTGTTAAGATAATGTGTTTGCCATCCTAAGTGCTTAATTCATTAAAATGAATTCCTGAGGCCACATCATGGAATTCCTTCAGCTTACATTTGAGATCACTTCCATACTGGGAAGAAAATGTTGGCTCCTGAGTTAGGTAGGTGACGTCAAATGAAAAACCGAACCATGCAAATAATGCATCAGATTTGCCCCTAAAATGTGCCCAATCAATTGCAATTTCATGCTGAAATGTGATGGGAGGGGTGTGGGGGGGAAGCATTAAGGATGTACAAGAACTCAGAGAGACGGAGAAACTACATCACATTCACCCTGAACACCTGAAATATGGAATGAATAAAATTCCAAGACATGGTTACTGACCAGGGAAAATGAAGAGAAAAAAATGTGATTGTTGGAGAAACATCTTATCATAGCCCTGAAAATAATTTTAAAAGTCTGCCAAGGACCTGGGGCTCCTGGGTGGCTCAGTTAGTTAAGCATCCAACTCTTGATCTCTGCTGAGGTCTTGATCTCTGGGTTGTGAGTTCAGGCCCCACGCTGGGCTCTATGCTGGATGTGGAGCCTACTTAAAAAAAAAAAAAAAAAAGTCGGTCAAGGTCCTTTCCCTTGGTTCACTTAAGGTCATTAATTAATAGTTGTTGGTTCAAAGTACGCAGTGGTAGCTCCCAAGTGAAAATATGTTATCAGTGCTGCTTACAACTAATGTCCTTTAGTGCTGGCCTCACTTCTGTCAGCCCCTAAGCCCAGGGTGGTTTTATCTAATCTGTAGTTCATGAATAACTGATGAAGTCCACCAGGCGAGGTTCACTGGGACACTTCTCCAAGATCGTGCCATTGGACCTATATATCTCCTTTATTATTATTATTAGAAGTTCCATAAGGCTATTTTGTGCTATGACCTTTCTATTTCTAAGGATGACAGTAGACTGGAAATGAAAGCCATTTTGTTGTTTCTCACAGAAATTCTGGCCCCTCTACCTTTTACACCTAAACCCTTTGTACCTACTACAGACAAAAGCAACTACTACAATGCTCAGGTCAGAATCAGAATCCGATAACATCAGAGATTCAGCCTCTCTCTCTCACCTTTCAACACAATAGTTCTGCCCATTGGCTTGGAGGTTCCCTTAGTATACATTCACACTTCAGGCCTGGATAATCCTAATATCCTCCTAAACTATCATTGTCATCATTCAAATATTTCCATGTCTGAAGGCTTTTTGCACCGTGTGTGTGTGTTGCTCTATGTCACATGGCTTCCATTTTTGGCATTTCAGGCTATGACATAAACTTCTTACTTCCGTCACCAGTGCACACATTTACAGGCATGTTTGAGAAGTGAGAAAGGCATCTGAGCACTGTACCTTCTGAACTATCATGTTTCTTTCTAGATTTCCAGAAGGGGAAACGTAAGAGTTTCTTAAACTAAGCCTGGAACGTTGGCTAATTTCTCCATTACTAACAACAACAGGCTATATTTTTCTAGTGCCGTGGATGGCACAGGATGGCCAAGTAAGGCTGAGCTACCTCCTTGTCAAGGTGTGGACCTGGGCTCCCTTCTCTCCTTATGCGGCAGCAGGATTCTCTGTGTAGACTGCTGCAGTGGGACTGGAAGATTCCCTAGTCTGCGACTCAGCACTGCCAAGCCCCGTCTTTTCCTGGCTGGCTCCAGAATATTTAAAAAAAGACAAAGACTCTCCCAACAGGGTGTTCCCTGAGCAAAGGATGTGAGAAAATGCTTCTCTGTAGAAACCCACTGCACTAGAATACACTCAAACATTTCATGCTCTGCACCAACCCGACCAGCTTGAAGGAAGAATTTGGGAGAATGTTTTTTAATGTGTTCATTCTTTTCCCCCCATTTTTTCTTCAGTGCAACACATGCCCTGGGAGGGATTTATTATTTATAGTCCCCTTTCAATCCCTAGTGATTTCAGAACCTGTACCTGTCTGTTAACAGTGGAGGCTTTGGTGGGCCCTGACCGGCAACTCACTTTTCCTCTCTCCCTTTAGGATGCCAGAGATGATGCTGTATTTCTCTTCTCCCACTTTCCCCATTCATTTATAGGCTGACCCTCTAGTGGAAAATGAAGGTGAACGTGGGTCTTTAAGATGGACAGAAGTGAGGGTCACACACAAGGCTGCGCAGATGCTAGATGCTCATCTCTGTTGGCCTCATGTGTTCCCTGTGTCAAGTTTTAAAAGGCCATTTCCTGACAAAAGTCTTACTTCCTGTCTTTGTTCACTCTGAAATTCAAACTGGAGTGGGATGGAAATCTAATACTTGACTCATTTCTATGGAGGAATTCGGTGAATAGGGCTGAATAAAAATGACTGAAAAATCTTTTCTGTCTACCTCTTAATTTCTTTATTCTCAAAAATCCTAATTCTTGGGTGCCTGGGGGGCTCAGTCGGTTAAGTGTCTGCTTTCTGCTCAGGTAACGATCCTGGGGTCCTGGGATCGAGCCCCACGTCCTCATCCTAGGGCTCCCTGCTCAGCGGGGAGCCTGCTTCTCCCTCTCACTCTGCCTCTCCCCCTGTTCATGCTCTCTCTCTCACTCCCTCTCTCAAAAATAAATAAATAAATAAACAAATCCTTAAAAAGCTCAGAAAAAAAAAAAATCCTGATTCTTCCACTTCATAATAAATTGGAACTCTAATCAATCTGTCTTCTCAATTCCTGGTAAGAAAATTCCGCAGAAAGTCATTAGCATGGTGCCTGTAATAACGTTAGCTATTATCCTAATTGTTGTTTTGTGTCATAATTATTGATGTTATTATAAACTCTTTGTAGAAATTCTAAGTCGGTTTGGTATCTGTTCTTACTGCCAGAGGACATGATTGTGTATTTATACAGTCAAAAGTGAACTGTAACAAGGCAGTTACACACTTGTGCTGAGTAGACTTGCATTCATAACCGGAAGCTTGGAAAGGACAGTCTGGAATTTCTGCAAAAATTTGATGAGATATATTTAGGCTTCTAAAGACATTTTATTCCCTATCTCTTGTCCTTCTAGACTTTGTGGATTTGAACCATTCTATGATGAAAGAGGTGATCAGTTCATGTTCAGGAGAATTCTGAATTGTGAATACTACTTTATCTCCCCCTGGTGGGATGAAGTATCTCTAAATGCCAAGGACCTGGTAAGTGTGACCAAAACAAAATGAAGTAAAATCTTCACATTCATTTTTTAACTAATTAATGGGCAGTGTCCTTTTTAAAATTTGCCCTTCTTAATAATTGTATTTTTAATAAAACAGTGCACATAATGCATTTTTCTTGTAGATCATGAAAAACAGATATGCTTGACTCATCACTTGCTGAATTATCACAACTTAAAAATTACTGCAGTATTAGTTAGTGAGATTTTACCACCTAGTCAATGTAGAATCTTGCTTTTGAAGCCAGCTGTACTGAGCGAATTCAAACATAATTTAGAATTCCATTTTAACAGGGCTTGCCTAGATTACCTAGATTTGATTATACTTTGAATAAAACAACATTGCATCTTGAAAGGTTCAAACTTACTGAAATATCGCAATATTAGCACAAGTCCCATCATGCCTTACTGGCATCATAAACAAGTTACACTCTACTGATAGTTCATTTTATTTGGCTTTTTGTTTGTTTTACTTGGGTTCTTGCGTAAGCTAACATTGAAGTTTGTTTGCATAAAGGAAAGACATACATTCTGGGGGGATGGCCCACCTGTTCTAAAATAAAGGGGATATTAACTTGGGATGAAAACATTACCCATCAATCGTCTAGAGAAAAACCACACAGAAATAACTAAAAACTGACTTTTGAACCACAAAAGCTAGCTCTCCAAGGGATCTTATGAGTCATCTAGTCTTTCCTTCATTTTAAAGTTGAGGGTGCTGGGGGCGCCTGGGTCACTCAGTCGGTTAAGGTCACTAAGTGGGCTCAGGTCATGATCTCAGGGTCCTGGGATCGAGCCCCACATCTTTGGGCTCCCTGCTCGGCGGGGAGCCTGCTTCTTCCTCTGCCCCTCCCCCCTGCTCGTGCGTGTGTGTGCGCGCGCGCGCGTGCTCTCTCTCTTAAATAAATAAGTAAAAAAAAAAAAAAAAAAAAAAAATAGAGTTGAGGGTGCTAAAGCCCAGAAAGGTGAAATGATTGTCCAAAGTCCCACAGCTTCCCAGCAGAATGAATGAGCCAGGTTTCCAGCCAATGCTCTTTTCCCTCCAAACATTTCCTCCTTCCCATCCATGTTCCTTCATGGAACAAACCCCCGTAGACCATGACTCTTCAGTAGGGCCAGGCAGAGAGGCAGTGTGTGCGACGTGTGCAGGATCCTCCCACCTCCTCCCGCGAGTCAGGCCGCCTCTTGAAGCCGTCCACTCCCCTCCGTTCCGCCACCGCTGCGCCGGCCCCCTCCTGCCCGACCTGGGCCACAGCCTCCCCCCGTGGCCTTCCCGCCGCCTCCACACAGGATCCAGAGGAAGGGCCTAAGAAATTAATCACATCCTGTCACTCTCCTGCTTTGAGGCTCTTAGGATAAAATCCAAAATCTGTGACCAGCTCTACATAGCACCACCTAGGCTGGTCGGGAGTCTGTCGCCCTGCCCATGCTACCCATTTCACAGCCCTGTCCTCTGATGGGCTTCACTCCAGGGCACCAGACCCACCAGTCCCTCATCAGGGTAGCTCAGGATTGGGCCCTTACCCTTTCCTCTGCTTTGTACTATTCTTCCCTCCTTTCTTCCTCTCTCTCTCTCTCTCTCTCACACACACACACACACACATGCACACACCCCTCTCGCATGGGTAAGTCTTACTGTCAAGCCCTAGTTGCCTTTGACATCCTCCTGGTGGCCTTGTCTGCCCCCCCGCCCCAGCAGTCCTTCCTTCCCACAATTGCTTTGTTCCTTCTGCCACATTGTTCCGTTGCCCCCTGGACTTACTCTTTCATGATGGTTGTGACTTATATTTACTTGTGGGAAGAACTTCCTTAGCTAGATTGTAAGTTCTGGGAGAGGTCGAGGCATGTGTGCCCAGATCTTAGTACCATTTGGGCGTATAGTACAGACTCAACAACTGTTTTTTGAATGAAACGATGAATCAGGAAGTAGACCATGGATTTTTAAAGTCTGACATATCTGGATTCAAGAGCCCTCTTGGTCATAACCTCGAGGTGTGACCTGGGGCTTGTTATCTAATCTCTCTGCTTTAGTTTTCTTTTCTGGGATGATCCCAGTACCTTTCTCTAAATTGCTGGGAGACTTAAGGGCTATAATGCAGGTTAACTGACTACCACCAACTAACTCCCTAACAGTTCCTTTATATAGCCCTCCTTCCATTTCTTTCATCGCTAATAAAAATCAAATGGGGACAAGGGTTAGCTGTGGTATGCCTTCATTCAGCTAAATCTTACCTTTGGGCTAATATATTTATAAAACTTCAGCACTAAAGGAATCCTTGAGTACCACAGATGTGTACCTATCAGCAGCACCCACATCTATTCTGAAATCAGCAGGGGAACAGTGCAGATGAGTGGTAGGGTCAGGCTGTAAGGGGGGCTGTAGGATTATGGCAAGGCTTTAGGGTTGAATCTTCACAAGGTCACGGGGCTCTCTGACCTTCAGCAAGTTTAACAGTTCAGTGCATCCATATCTTCAAATGCAAAGATTAACTCTGACAGGTGGGAATTTGGGGGCACATACTGACTTTCAGTAAATTCTTCATATTTTCACGAGGAGGAGGATGGTAATGATGAGGAAGATGAGGATGATTGGAAAATGGGAGGGAAAGATCTCATTGTGAATTGTTAAGGATTAGGTACCATTTGTACGAAATTATTAGGACATGTATCCCGCAGGTGACAGCTATGACTGCAATCAGATTTTTATTTACTGCTCTGCATTCATTTTCCTTAATCATCTGTACCTCCCACCACCTCCTCTCAGATTTTTAGCATAAGCAGCCTCACATCTCTGCCCTCTACAAATTATGTTTCTCTACCCCAAACACACATTTCTTTGCAACTTTTGCAGAAAAGAAGTAAGAGGAGAACCAGATATTTGTTCTTCATTTGACTTACTGCCTGATTGTGCTAGCCTGTGCTCAGTTCTTGTTAGCTTAACAGAGTTAGAAAAGACCTTAGGCCTTACATCACCCATAGCCCCCATCTGCCACATGGGCAGATGAAGGCCAGAGGGGTGGACTGCCCTTGGAGGCACTGAGGTGTAGTGGCCACAAGATGAGCTCTGAGGTAAGACAGACCTGAATTGGAACAGAGCCTCCACCAGTTACAAGTTGTCTGGCCTTAGTTAAGGCACTAAATTTTTCTGAGCTTCCTTCCATCCCTCATTTATGAATTGGAGCTAATTGTTCCAAGTCGATAAGGTTATGGAAAGAATTACACAAGTTTTTAAACATTTTTATATGTATGTAAGAATGTATTTACAAAGGAATTAAGGTGGAAAAGAGATCATATAAGAAAAGGGCCTAGGAAAATGTCCATAGGCACTCAATTCATATATCGGTCTTTGTCCAGACTCACAAAAGTGGGTAAGAGATGTAACTAGAGCTTGAACGTGGGCCTCCTAACTCTTAATAGTCTCTACCTCATTCCAGGTCACCCTTTCTGAGCGCAGGGCCAGGGATTATTTTGGTTATTGATCTTCCTGGCAGTTTATTATCTGCTCATTCTCAGGGGTCAACCTCCCAGACTGGTCTGCCATGGTTTGAATTTAGTCCTTTAAACAAATCATACCCCTAAACCACTGACACCCTTTTACTCCAGCACTTGGCTTATTCCTTCACAACCTTCAAGGTATTAGAGTGAATTTTATCACAGAATGATGGGATAAGCATAAAAACTATACTATCTCTTTGTTGCCATTTAATCCCCACCTATGGGACACCTGGGTGGCTCAGTCGGTTAAGCGTCTACCTTCGGCTCAGGTCATGATCCCAGTGTCCTGGGATCGAGTCCCGCATGGGCCTCCTTGCTCAGCGGGGAGCCTGCTTCTCCCTCTGCCTGCCACTCCCCCCGCTCATGCTCTCTCTCTCTGTGACAAATAAATAAAATCTTTTTTAAAAAATCCCTACAGAAGGGCGCCTGGGTGGCTCAGTTGGTTAAGCGACTGCCTTCGGCTCAGGTCATGATCCTGGAGTCCGGGATCGAGTCCCGCATCAGGCTCCCTGCTCGGCGGGGAGTCTGCTTCTCCCTCTGACCCACCCCCCTCTCATGTACTCGCTCTCTCTCATTCTCTCTCTCTCAAATAAATAAAATCTTTAAAAAAAAAAAAAATCCCTACAGAAAGCATGATGAATGCACGATGATTCCATCCCCATTGAGATGCATCCGAAATTCTAAATCTAACTGGTGCTAAGTACAGCCTAGAATTATTCAGATGCTGGTTCTCCTTCAAAGAACTTCCAGTCCACAGGCAACCAAGAACCTGTTTCTCTGACCTCCCTTGGAAAGCCGCCTGCCGGTCTGGCCTCTCAGGTGGCACACACCACTGTCTTCTCAGACCCCCTCAGCGACTGCTATCTGAAGCTATCCTTACAGTGACCACTGAGGGCTTAAAAGCTTTTTTTTTTTTTTTTTTTTTTTTAATGTATAGTTAGTGGTACTGCTAGGAAAATAGAATAAAACCTAGAAGTTCACAAGCTGGGTCACTATAAAAATCTCCCTAAGAAATCTATGGTTCTTCATCATTTCAGGTCAGAAAACTAATTGTTTTGGATCCTAAAAAACGGCTGACTACCTTCCAAGCTCTCCAGCATCCATGGGTCACAGGTAAAGCAGCCAATTTTGTACACATGGATACTGCTCAAAAGAAGCTCCAAGAATTCAATGCCCGGCGCAAGCTTAAGGTAAGATATATTTTGTTTTGCTCTGTTTTGTTTTGTGTGTGTGTGTGTGTTTTTTTTTTTTTTAATCTCTCTCTCAGCTTGAACTATTAAAGATAATTCCATTTATTCTTCATCTAATATTATTCATCTTCTGTGGTACCAGGGAAAATCCTGCCTTGAAATCCCAACAATACTGGTGTAAAGCCACTGAGGGTCATGTTATTCTCTCATAAGAACTCATTGTTAGTAAAGGGAAATATGTTATAGGTTGAGATTTACTCACCAAATATCTGATCACTGTTTCTCATTTAATTAAGACTGAACTGCTTAAACAGCATTGCTCAGGAAACTGATACTTATTCAGAAAGTTGCCTTCTTTCTGAATATGTGAAAATTGGGAAACTTTTTTAAAAACCTGTATTTTGTAATTACATAAATAAATTCCCACACTTGATAAAAATTAAAATACAACTGACCTTTGAACAACACTGGGGTTAGGGGCACCAATTCCTCAACACAGTTGATCTACCTATAATTTCTGACTCCCCAAAAACCTAATCACTAATAGCCGACTGTTGACTGGAAGCCATTACCGGTAGCAGTTGATTAACACATATTTTGGATGTTATATATATTATGTGCTATATTCTTAGAATAATACCTAACTCTTTCTCAATGTTCTGGGTATTTATAGGCTACACACTTTGTGAGTTTTTTCAATTGTTACAGAAATTTTTTTTAATGTGTCTGTTGAAAAAAATCTGCACATAAGTGGACCCTTGCAATTCAGACCCATGTTTTCAAAGGTCAACTGTAATTCACATAATATAGAAAATTACCCAAAATATATCTTTGTATAGAATATATATGGAATATATATTAGATAAGATTTTCTCTTACATAATGGTGTTTAGGACTTACTATAGCTGCAGAGGATTTCAGAGAACAGCTGAGGGTCAAAAATAATGTTCTATTCAGCCATCACTTACAGGCTGATAAAGACTAAATAAACCTTAAAGGTTGTATGGTCAAACTGATTTGAAATACCTTGGATTAAATAACCTTGACTTATCCCAGGACTTCTCAAACAAACTTGACCATGGAATTCTTTTGTTGCATAATACTAGTGTTCCATGAAACACTTTGGGAAACAAAGTCCAAAATATTTGCAAACAGGTAATCCAGGGGCAAACACATTTATCCAAGCTTTCACTTGTCCAGATGATTAAATACAGTAGGCTTGAGATTAAAAAAGATTTTGCTGTTCATGTCCAGACAAGCTTTCATTCAACCATCTTGGAATATATTTTGAACATATAAAACAGATACAACAAAATCCCTAAACGCAAAGCTGAGATTGAATTCTGATTCAGGACGGGAAGTGGAAATAACACCTGACACTTGTCTGTTTCCAATCAGGCAGCAGTGAAGGCCGTAGTGGCCTCTTCCCGGCTGGGCAGTGCCAGCAGCAGCCACGGCAGCATCCAAGAGAGCCAGAAGGCCAGCCAAGCGCCGGCTCTGACCCAGGATGGCAGAGAAGATGTTAAAGCTATTTCGGAAGGAGAGAAAGCTCAAGGAGGTGGGGCCCAGGTGGCAGTTGAGGGGGCAGAGGCTGAGCTGATGAAGGTACAGGCCGTAGGGGAAGTTAAAGATGCTGATAGAAGGGCTACCAACATGATGCCCGAGGCACTAGAGGATGGGATAAAGGCGGTTGACCCGGAAATAGAGGAGGGCCTAATAGAGGAGAAGCTGAAGACCATGGAGGAAGCAGCAGTCCCCAAAGAAGGGCAAGAAAACCCGGCTCTGGGATTTGGAGCTCAGCAGAATGACATGATCCTGCCGGAATACTGATTTGGCTTCTTTCCAAACTGGAAGCCAAATTCTGGCACTTTATGCATTTTGTCCTTCAAGGAAGGTGTGGAAGCATGATATGCACTATAGTGATTCTGTTTTTTGAGGTGCAAAAAAAAATACATATCTATCAGTTGGTAATCCTAAATTCATGCATGTGACTGCTTTATGAAAAAATAGTGTCTTCTATGGTATGTAATGGATACCTAATGCCGAGGAGTTAAATTTGAAATTGCAAGTAAACACAACATTTAAAAACATACATGTTCAGGGACCAATAGCACACGTTGAAGTAACTAGTGAATTGTTTTTGCTTTGAAAACCTAGTCATCCTAATCCTTTGGATTTCTTCATAAAGCAGTAATTCCTTTGGACTCTTGCTTAACTAATATTAGGTAGTGCTCTAAGACGTGTTCCCATGGCATTCACAACACCATAGTTTTCAGTGTGCTCAAACTGTCCAATGTGTTCAAACTGTTTACAAGGAGATGGTTACAGGTTAGTTTTATGATACGTACAAAAAAAAAAAAAATTCCCACTTAAAATGGTAAGAAATTGAAGCATACGTAAGGGCCATGAAACAAATTGCCCTTAAAGCTTGTGTAGACAACGCTTTCTTATTTTGTCCTTATTTATACACACTATATTACTAATAACCAAAAATGTTCTATCACAAAATCCTGCCATTTTACAATCCTGTAGAAAGCATTTTACAAACTCATGCTGAGGGATGTATTCCTTCCTTCCCCTGCTAATACAGTTTCTTTCTCATGGACAACACTTAAGGTGGGCTAAAGAAATCGAGGGAAGAAAAGGAGCTAAGCCCTGGACTTATTCTCACAAAGGTTGACTGTTTGTCATTTTCAGATAAAATTGGATTTATTCATGAGTTTCTACAGCTTTAAAGACAGTAACATTTTTATGGATAAACTCTACAATTACCAAGTTTCAGATTTTTAGAAAAATCTACCCCAGAGGCTGGTGCCAAAATGTCTGAATAGAGTGAGAATAATATTCCATTATAAGATCGTTCATTATTGATTTTACTAGATTAAGGAAACTTTTGTTTATGAAAGTCCTTTTTTCCTTCAGTTGATGGTTATCTAGATACATTGCTTATGAACGAAAGATATTTCTGAAAATCTTTTATATCTTTTTTTCATGCTTGGAATAGAAGTGCCCAAATTTTACAATGTAGTTTTTAGTTTCCATGCCAAGAAATTTAGGACAGTGCAATGTTTTATTCACCTTAAAAAAAAAAAAATGAAAAGAAAGCAATGATTTCAAATCAGACTCATGAGAAGCTGTAACATTAGACCTAATACTTCACCATGATATTTTTCAAAGTATTTTTCTTTGATTTCCATATGAACACTTTTCCGCTACAGAAATCACACTTAAATTCCAAGTACCTCATATTTATTTCTAGTTTGAGTTGAAGTGAACACTTTTATTGATTTATGCCTCACATTTTAAGTTTTCCTCAGCTTTAAAAAAGGATTGTTCTCAAAGACCAAAACGATGGAGAGTAAAAATGACTGTCACAGAAAAATCCTCATCAAAAAAGATCTTAAATTCTTTTGGCTCTTCCTCAAAACTATGAAATTGGAAAACGAAATTAAATCTCCGGTTCCTGGGGGGCTACTGGACCTTGGGAGACATTCTGCTTTCCAAGTGCAAATCTTCCTTTACTACTATTCTCGTGAAAAGAAAACAAGGTAGGACTTCTCATCACCCATAGTTTAGGAGCCTGGCAGGTCACCAACATGGACAGAGGAAAAAGCCCTTAAGGGCACATCATCTGGGCTCAAAAGAATATTTTTTGTTTTGATTTATTTTTATTAGCTAGTAAAGAGTACTTATCCTCTTCCCCCATTTCTTTCCTTCCCTCTTTATCCTCTCTCAGAATTTCCATGTTAGTAATTGTAAAGGGCTCGCTATTTTTAACCTTTAAGAATGCCTTTTTCACAAAGCATTAACATTTCCATGTAAGAAGATCAATTGCCTGGTGTACTTTTCCTAATGAGACTTAACAGGCATACAGGGTAAGTGTCCCATATATTGGAAAAGGAAAGAAGAGAGGGAAATGGATCGTCTTAGAAGTGGCAATTAGTTGGAAGATCAGTACATACTGCCCCTCCTGGCTCCACCCCCACACTGTTCCAAGGGCGGGCAGTTGTCCTATCATTCCATCGCTCAGGCCTGACTGCACCGCGGGGCCCCGTGTAGCAGGAGCCATGAAGAAAGACAATCTTGAATTATTTTCCCATTTTCAAAAAGTCTAATTGGAATCCTAGTGGTTTTTTCAAACTAAAAGAGCTCATTTGTCCCACAAATACATAAATAAGATAGAAATTAGAATGATTGTAGAAGTTATCATCTAGAACAAGTGCTGTTACTCTACTGTATAATCAATATGAAAACTTAATGAGATATTTTGAATTTTGAATTTTTATACTAAGTTTTCAAAATCAGGAGTATATGTTACACCTTTAGTACATCAAGTGCTCAACAGCCACATGTGACTAGTGGCTCATGTATTGGAACAAAACTGTTCTACAGTACTTCTTAAGCAAAATGACACATGGATGCCTATGCTTGGATTTGAGCTGCCTCAGTTTCACACGGATGAGCGGGTAGGAGGCCAAAAAGAAAATGGTTCAAAAGTGTCATAGACTAAAATAAGTAAACACTCTTGGCCACATCTGCTTAATCATGTGCTTCAAAGGGATGTTTCCCAACATGACTTTTAAAAAACAGTACTTTCCTGGGCATTGCAAAGGTGTCTGTTGGCTACAGTCCCTCGAATCCCTCTTTGGGCCCTGGAATCTTGACCACCGGCTAGAGTCTCCCGAGTACTGCCATAAAGTCCATAGTATTCTTGTGTATGAAAACTTACTGTGAGCCAACCATGGGTCCCCGTTCGGGAGGGACTGCACAAAAAATGTTAATAGGATTTTGTAGGGCTAGATTAAGCTGGGCATCATTTTTTAACAAGCAATCTTTCTTTCTACAAATCTACTGAAACATACTAAATTTACTAAATGAGGGTGATGATATCATCCCAGTAACCCCCAAAATGGAAATGACCACTGGCTGGCATTTTTTAGATTTCCTTAGAACGATTTAATCAACACTGCCATTATACATGGATTCAAAAGACTTAGAATGTTCTTACATACTGCTATTTTAGAGTAATCCTCAAGGTTCTATAGCCATTTTTAGTGGCAAACTTAAAAAAGAAAGGAATAACTTGCCTTTTACTGTGACCTCAATTACATAGTATCTTAAGCATATTTTGTAATTTAGAATGTCTAGCAACCCCTATTTCCAGTTTCACATGCAAGGTAACTTGCTGGTGGGTTGCCTACAAACTGAAGATTTAGAGAGAGCCATTTTGTTTCATAATTCCGTTTTTATTTCACAGAAGCATCTGGTTGCATTTCAAATTGGAAAAGAGAAGTAAATGCCAGAAAAGGCAAAGAATAAAATTAGTAAAACATTTATTCGATTTTAGGATTGTTCTTGCAAAGCAAATGAAAAAAGAAAAAAGAAAAAAAAGAAAAGAAAAGTCAACGAAGTGAATCAGCACTAGGTTTTTCTGGATGAAGGTTGACTTCACATAAAATTGAAATAAATATACTAAGCAGAGTCATTTACATAACTACAATGCCATTATGTAATTTACTTGTCATTGCAGAGTATTCAGTCTGGTTATGTAGGTCTTCTTTAGATGGTGCAAAGTTTCCAACATTTGCCTACATAATAGGATTTGTAATATCCTTGCAATTACTATCTATTAGGTCATATTCCAATTTCCTTAATGTTCATCATGGATATGTTCCTCATTAGGGTCATTGCTAACATCTGAGCATTTACTGGTTAAGTACTGCTTAATGGCTAGACTCTATGTATGTCATCTGTGTTTTTTAAAAACATTTATGTGCATGTAAACACAATATTGGCATTATATTCATAAGCATATGATAAGCAGAAATGTACCCAATAACTTTCTATACATTTTTTTCAAAGTTCTTTTCTTCCCCTGGCACAACTCAGGGTGAGTTTCTGGCTCCTTGACAAATAAGGAAAAAAAAAGACCACTGGAGAGATATCAGCTACCCACCATGGTTACCAAGTTCAGCATTTCCTCTGTCTACATTCTGATCTACTAAGGGCCAGTTTTTGTCATTATTACTCCATTCAAATATCACCTGAGATCAGATAATATAATCTCAGCTCACAAAGCCCAACCATTTATATACTTACCTTGGAGAGCAATAACAAACTTGACTAATTTATGTTGGCTTGTTTAAAATTCCAGTTTTCATAAATGTTTGTGATATACTCTAGAGGATTTGATTGCATGATTTTAACTTCTTTCAAGAATCAGCCTTTTCCCTTTCACCTGGCCCAGAGGTCCACCTAGAGCAAGATGGAAGCCTTGAATGAAAGCGGACCATCTGACTCCTTTGCGGGAATCAGACATTGTTCAGAAGACTCCAGGTGTGTCTGACCTGGTTGAGCTCAGATGAGCCAAATGGAAAGAAACCTCTTCCCATGCTATGACTGAAAGTGATGCTATTTGAATATTGGTATATTCCCATTATTCAGTAATGAAAAAATGGGACTCCACCAGTCAGTTACTCTTTCCCGTGTCTTGGTTTGCTAACACCTTTCCCAGATCAATGTTTTGTTCCATCCTTCTGGCCGTCAGGTTGCCCTCTCAGCTTGTGAGATCTTCTAAAAACCTGGAAGGAGGATCCCGGACTTGTTGGAGAAATGCAGGGCCCTTAGTGGCCCAGAATTTAGTTTGAAACTAAACAACAATGCTAAGGCTACAAAATGATGCTTGTTCATAATAGTTGTTTTCAGCACATTTTGAAGATTGACCTGGAAAACCCATGGATATGAAATGGTTACATCTGTGTAATCTTTGCTATGACTCATTGTTAAAAATGACAGGTATTTCATCTTCAGTCAGTTAAAAATAATATTTCTTTTCCATTTAAAAGATTATTTGGGGGCAGTCGAATACAATAGGCTTCACATTAGAATTTTTGAAAGCTGTTGTTTTCCTTAAGTGCTCTCATTCTCTCACAATCAGTTGTGGATAAAAATTTACTAGGTTAGTCCTTTCTTTGTCCTTTCCTTGAACCATGTATAGTAGTTCATCTGGTTTGTAAAAGATATAGTATGACTATAAATTGAAAACTGTCATCTTATAACTGACTCCTGTTAACCTGACCTATTTTATTGCCTATCATGCAGCGACTCACGGTAGCATAGAGTACAAATAGCATATTCATGAGCTATGATTTTGTTTGCTTTTTATTGTCAAGGTTATTGCTTGCGTTAGAAGTTCTCAAGGTGTTTCTATTCGTACACCCTTAGTCTCAGTATTATTTTCATGGTCCTCCCAAAGCCAAAAAAATTATCTAACATGTCCATTTATTAAGTAGTTAGGCCCAAACAACACAATAGTAGTATTGCATTCCATATCTGATCGATGTTGCTGTGTTTCCCTTGAAATTTTAAAATTTCTTGTGAGTTCACTGAGTGGGAATAGCTGACAGGGGTTTAAGTAATTCCTTATGCCCGGTGAACTAAGGGTATCAGGCAAAGGGTATTATTACTAGTACATGAGTTAGAAGTTACTGTTTATACTTTCTTATTTGACTATCAATCATTCTTTTATCTATGGTTTTTATGATATACA